CACACACACACACACACACACACACAGACATATTGACATTTCAAGGTTCAGCTTATAAATAGTTTTTACACATTCCTTTACTGTAATGTAATGTAAATAATTAAAAGTACATAAAAGAGGAGTGTGTAAAGTCAGTTTGAGAAACTTGAGGAACAGCCGAACCTTTTTCATTTGAGTTTTTGACCGTGAGTTTTACATGAACTCCTTGTGAACTTGAATCAGACTTTAGCGTGTCTCAAACAGCAGAGGAAGCGATTCACAGGAAGGAAACTGCTTTCGTAAAGAGATGGGCATTTCTTTGTAGAAGTTGTACACTTTGCTTATCATGTCATCTCTCATTGACACAGGACTGCAATAGAGCCCTTCAAACTAAAACTGGGGTGTGGAGACACTTTCTCACTGATGAAAGAGTCGTCATTACAGGGAGGCTGGAGAATATAAGTGACTCTTATCAGATGCTCTATCATATATACTCCCTTCCTCTAGTTTGAGATGTTTAACTGCATGGCCTAAATGAGCCAACAGATCCACTGCATGGTAGAAAACAAAGAAGTTTTTTAAATTGTTATTGTATTTTTTGGACTTCATGCTTTTTTAGGTGAATGGGTCCATAAAAGTCCATAAAATAGGGCAATATTTACTGTGTTAATATGAAAAAAAAAAAAAGTTGTATTTGTATTTTGAATTATGCATTGCATGCTGTTTTAAAGGAAATGCCTGTAAACTGGCAGAAAATAACCAGTATTTTTTCCATTTTCCTACAGATTTCTCACTCTGATGAAGTTTAAAGAGAAGATTATGCATAAAGTCGGCTTAAGATTGAACTTTATGGCATAATATATCAGAAGCAGTCCTTAAAGTATAACCAGTTGTGTTTAATTTCTACTTGAAAGTTGATTTTTACTAATGCAGATGCTCAATTATGAACTAAAGAACCATAGTGAAAGAAACTGAAAAATACAGAATATAATTCGACTGAATCCTTACAGTCATGGGTTTTAAAAATTATGCAGAAGTTGGCACTATTTCCAGCCCACACGTTTGTAGACATAATCACATGTTTAAAAGATAAACAAAATACTACAAATAGCTCACAGGCATTTGGACTGAAACTAGATCTGTGAGTTTCTGTCACTGCTGCTTTTGATAAAGTCGTGTTTGTGTTGTAATCTTTCGTTAGGCTTGGATACAAATATCCAGCACAGAATTTAAAAAAATAAATACAAATAATAATACAAATAAAAAATTAAAATAAAAAAAAATAATGTCAAACATTTTTTTAAATGATTCACAATAATAAAAAAAAATAAAATAAAAATAATATTAACATTTTCTATCCAAATGTCATTAATCTGTGGAAACATGACATGATCACTAGGTGTCCTCGTGAAAAATTCTGGCTCTCTCCTAGTCTGGTCCTCTCAGACTAATCGGTGACTAAACCGACAGATGCTCTGAAACATTAGAGTAAAATGCAATGATGTACAGTGAGAAAACAGGAGGAGCGATAAGGCATGTCTCAGTCAAAGAGTTCTGCGATCCGTCTGACAGTATCTGCCTTCCTTGAGGCTGGCTTGCGTCGACTATCTCATGCCGTTTACCATGCGACCTTCTGAGCCGTTTGTCAAATCAAATTTCGCCGGCGTCTCCCA